GTAAGGAATTCATATCCTGTGACTATTCGGAACATTGATACTATTTGCGAGGAAAACGGTGAGCCAAAATTCATTGTTTAATTCTAAGGAGTTGCTTATCATTCATTTAATTATTTGCTCGTTTTTTCTAGGCTTGTTTAATATTTTTGCTAAGTCCCTAGAATGTTAAATTTTCTATGTAATTTTCTATATAAAGTCGTGTCTAGCCCTTTCAAATTCATAGAAAAAAAAGAAATCTAATTCTTCTCTTCAAAAGAGCTGACAGACTCGTATCACTTAAAAACTTCGATAATTCTACTTCTATCTCGATTTCCCAATAGTATTTAGACCATATCTAAAATTATACACATTGGATTAACATGATTAAAAATCATATGAAAAGAATACATTTAGGCATATAACTTTCTTGAAGATCTTGAGTCCAAATTTTGTTGTCTTCGATCTTGAATAAGTCCGGAATTTCGGTATAAAGCCCGGAGTCCTAATCAACAACAAGTCTTAATTAATTTCAAGAGTAATTCTAAATAGGACTTCGAGATGCATATCATATTTATCTTCATATACCTATAAATAGCCTGCGGGATTACTCATTCAAATACATTTAGGCATATTTATCTTCATATGCATATCATTTTTTTATACATAATTTAGAGTTTTATGCTCCATATAATGTCTAGCCAATTTTATCAATTCGGTTCAAAGAATTTCAACTTCAATTTGCAAGAGATTGTGAGACATGGATTTGATCTTTAAACTATTCTTGATGATTTGAGTATTTTTTATTTTTTAAAATCTAACCGATTTATCTATGAACTTAATTAATTATGATTGCATAGATCATTATCTAAGGTGATCAATTAGTTAATTGTCTATTGTAATTGATAGCTAACTAACTTTATTAATTCGTAATTATTATCAAAGGTTAGTGCAAATAGCAAATTACATTTTTATAATTATGATCCTAGATTTTGTGAGTACCTAAAGAAAATAGAAAGAAAAATTAAATAATTTAAGCATCATAAAATTTTTGTTTCTTAGCTATATTCCTAATTCTTAATGCAATTATTAATTTGATTATGATTGATTAATACCAAAATCAATTGATAATAAAAATAATTCGAGTAGTGGGCTTTGAATTAATGAATATAGGAAAGATTTAGATGTATTCTAGCATTTTGGTAAATCTAGGTTAAGTATTCAATGAGAGGATAATAATTTAGGTGTCTATGATCAATCTACGAATTGAATGTTTGTATTTCTCATTAAATTGAATTTTTCTCTTAATTAAAGGCTTCTTTATTTGATTTTTTGAATTACTTTTAAATTTTAGCATAAAACCAACCAACCTCCTCTTTAATTGAAGTTAAGAAAAGTAATCAACCAATCTTTAAGGTTCAACTTGAACTTGCTGCTAATACAAATTTTGATGAGGTTAGTAAATTAATTATATAAATTTGATGCATTCGAGCATGCATCAATTTCACCACGTATTCAAAAAGAGAGACAACCAAGTACTATGGACAAAATTAGAGAGTATGTAGAAAAAACAACTATACGGAATAAAAATTTTTTGATAAAAAAACTTGTGAATTTGAAATACAAGATGGAAAGTCTCGTTGTCGAACACTTGAGTGACTCTCAATATTTGATTAATCAACTGATAACCATGAAAATAGTGTTAGATGGTGAGTTACAAGCATTATTGCTATTGAAAAATTTGTCAAACGGTTGTGAGACTTCGGTTGAGACACTTAGTATTTATGCTATAAATGATGTTTTGTTGTTATTCATGATTAAAGATACACCATTCAATAAAAAACAAGATGAAACGAAGTGATAGCAAATGATGCACAAGTCTTATCACGGAGAACGAGATAAAACAATACAAATAAAGAATTTATAGAGAATTTAGTGGGCAATAATAAATCAAAAAATAGATCACGATCATCACTTTGAGCTACAAGGTTACATTAAGAAAAATTACAAGGCATGAAAAATCATGAAGAAGATAATGAGAACACCATTGCAGTATTAACATTAGATTGAGATGTGATACGGAGAATAAGTATAATGTTACGGATTCTTATGTTAAATGGGTTATTGACTCAATGACTACGTATCATGCTACTTTTATGAATGAATTCGTTATGACATAAAGTAAGAGACCTTGGTAGAGTAAAAATAGATAATAATAGTTATCCTACTCTTGTAGGAGTTGATGATTTATGTATAAAGACTTAAACATGTTGCACACCAATTTTGATATTGTATATACCATATTTACATCTAAATCTAATTTCTACTAATGTGTTGGACATAGCTAGATATTACAATCAATTTAGCTATGGAAAATAAAAACTTATCAAGGGATCAATAGTTGTTGCTAGAAATAATATTTGTGATAAATTGGACATGACAAAAGTGTAATTGATCAAATTTGAAAAATGTACAATTAGATATAAAATTTCTCTAAAGTTGTGGTCTAGACAATAGACTCAAATCTTGTGTTACTTTTGCCAAAAAGATTGCCACATACAGGGGAGTATTGGCTAAAAAAACATGGAATTGATATTGAACCAACAATTGATAATGATGATGATAGGTACACAATGAGTGTTGAGTAAAGAGAGTAGGATTCTCTACTTCAAAATATAAAGTCTCAAGTGAGTAAGTCTATTAGTCAGTATAGTTTTTTTAATCAAGAATTCCAATAGAGTTATTTAATCGGTTTCTTAATATAATAGATTATTTTGAAATTAATCATGTGGTCTTTTCACCAAAGATAAAAAAAATTTTCACATAAATTTAGTATTGTTGTGGTTGTATTTTTATCATTGGTTTATTTTATGCTCTTAATTGTTATATGTGTTTGAATTAATTATTTTCTCCTAAAATTTGACTTATACAAAAAAATTAAATTCCCAACACAACTGATCTATCTAGACGGTCTGCTCAGACAAACATAAATTAGTCCATATATAGATATTATTTAAAAAGAAAACAAGGGAAGATAACGCAAAGCTATGAGTCCAATGTTTCTAAGCAAACGATACATTAACCTCATAGTCTGATTACTATAGAAATTTTAGAGAGAAGGAAAACAATTATATATTTTTTGCGTTGTCATGTTAGTTTTTGGCCATTTCTTATTCTTAAGCCCTACCACATCAAGAAGTTTCCAATATTGCCGTCCAAGGTTCGCGATTTTTGTATCTCCTTACACAGCGACACGAATGTCAACCTCAATGCCTTCCTCCCAATGAATTTGCAGAATATACAAGAATTATCATTCGTCTTTTCTTTTTGATTTACTTTGCAAAATACATAATGTGTTAATCTCCAAAATGGAAAGGAAAAAAAATACATACAAAGGATAGTTCAAATTAAATTGTGTCTTTTCTTCAACCTGGAAAGCTATCAATTTGAATAATTTGGATTTGCATCCATAATCTCCAACTTGTAATTCAAGTGAGAGTGAAATCAGAATCACCACTTTTATATGCGTTTCAAGATTTCAATACTGCACCTGTTTACATCAAGTGGTCGTAATTCTTATATCAAATGTTGATTTTATTCATGATCGATATCATAATTGTCAATTCGTTTATTTTCTAATTGTCTTCATCACCTGTCCATTTTTAATCATACGGTCCAGTGATACGTTCTATATATATATATATATATATATTGTCCTGGTTTGAAGACACTCATGTTTTCTCGAGCTTTTTTAAGAAATCGTATTTTCTATTTTTTTATTAAAAAATAGAAAGATAGATAGGTTATCTTGTATTTTCCTACAGAGAATATTACGTTTATATTATACTATTATTTTATTTAAAAAGATTCTAAGTGAAAATATGATATTTTTGAGATGCTAAATACTTAATTAATTTGAAAAACTAAAAAAAAAATCAGCATTAAATTGAAAACTTCAGAACCAAGGGTGCATATATTGCCTCCAAAGCAATGCCTAGTTCCGCCATTGATATGGTCGAACGTATGTTTTCTGTGGTTGGAAAAGCGTTTCGAACCCTATCATTTGGCTGTGATTTTTTTTTTCCATTGGATCCACGACCTTTTTTTTCTTGGCAACTTCTGTGAATATGTCGTTACGGTCATATTTTTGTCCTGCCCTTTACAAAAGGAGCTTTTCCTGCAACAAACGCGCGTGATCTACGTAAATTTATAGGTGCATTTTTGAACTACATGTCATTTCCTATGTATTATTTGATTTGCTCCAAAACTTCCCTCGTGTAAATTTATTCTAGCATCAGATTTTTTTCGATCGAGTGGCATGCCGTGCGAGTTCATGAGTCAGTTTTGAAGAAAAACTTAACCAGACATGCATGTTCTCCTACACGCCACATCTAGTGCAAGACCATTGTCAATGATATAAAAATAAGTAAAAGAATTACATTTAAACAATTATATAAAAATCAGATTATCAAAATTTAAAAGGCAAAAAAATACAACGATATCATGGAATGATAATAGGGCATTTTTCAATCATTAAAGATTTGCACAAGACTTGTTTATTTATATAGCACTACTCGTATTTAATTATGCCATTAAGTCAAAAAGAAAAAATATATTTTCTTGTTGAGTTGGAATAAAACAAGTACTTCAAACTTACATATATCCTAATTCAATTGATTGTGTTGTGATTGCTATAACTATAGAAGAAAAAAAAACATTTATGTCAATAAAAGTTGTTTTAAAAACAACCAGGAATTAACAAGTATCCATAGTTTTTTTTGTTTTTGAGATTAAGTATCCATAGTTAATGTATCATAAATTTCATTTTATGACTTCCTGACTTTAAATAATTATGGATTTCCAATAAAAATATAAACAATCTGATGGACCATTCAAGCAGTCAACTCTTGTAGAATATATTGGGCAGTGTTGGAAAATGATTAGAGATGACCCATTATTTTCCAGCAGACCCTCGCTTCACAAAATACAAGAAATCCATTTAGCAGCCCACTAAAACCAGTCTATTAATCAAACAACGATCTAGGATCATCCCTAAGGCGCGTGGATCCACTCCATACCTTTTTCTTTTTATATTTTTCCCCTTTTTTGTTAGTGGACCACTTTCCGATCTCCACCTTTATATCTTCCAGAAAGCGAAGCCCCACTGAATCGTAATCTTCTTTGCGATTACAGATTTTTGTTTGCAACGAAGGGACGTGCATCTACGCTCATGAGTGGAGACCGGAGACTCTTGGATTTATATGCTTTTTTATTTTGGTGATAACGTTATCAACGTGTTTGCTAGACTGGTGGGGTGAGTGAATCATAATAAACTCAACCTTGGCGGCTTGACGCTTCCGTGCTTCACCCACTCTACAAATAAAAAAAGAAAAAAATATAATAAATGGTATTCGTCGTTTGAGGCGTTAGCAAAAATTGAGAGAGTTATTAAAAATGTTTGATCTTGTAAAACCTCAGCTCAAATGCAGGTAAAAAGTTTTTAATGAGTTTCTTTTATTGTTTTTATAGTGCCTAGATTGGTCCTTATAAATTTTTTATGTAATGTAAAATACTGATTGCACTTGCCTTTTTATCTAGACTTGGATGATGCGTGATTAGGATTTTCCTTCACGTTTCCTTTCGCAAAGCACTGTCTTCCTTTACGTTTCCTTTTACAAAGCATAGTTTACTGAAGTTTTGAAGTCCACACAAACGAGAAAGGTTCTCAAAGCACGATCAATAATTGAGCACGATGCGCTTGATCTTCTCGAATTGTGAACTCGTTAACACAGAGGGTGAATATTTACTATATTTACCGTTTTAAGCAAATCTTATTATTATAGTGACAGAAGTTGCGATAATTTTAACAAAAGATAAATGCCTGATATGGCTTATATGAAAGTTAGGATTCATTCAGATATTTTTTGATAATTGAGAATAAAATAATAAGAATGAGAATGTAATTTTTATTATCACTATTTGATTGAAAGAAATGAAATGAAAATAAAAATAAAAATTATATACAACTTTATTTTCATTTAAAATATGAAAATAAAAACAAAAAATGAGAATTATTTTTTTTAAATAATAATATATTTTTATTTATTTATTGTATATTAATTATTTCTACCACAACTATTAGCACTATCATAACCATCATCACTACTACAACTATAAGCATCACTATTATCACTTTTATTATTTTTATGATTATTATTTTTTTATAAAATTATTTTTTTAATCATTATTTTTATTTGTATAAAAAATTCCAAATATGAAAAAAAAAATTCAATTACATTCCGATTCTTTATTAGTATTCCAAACAAAACATAATAATAAAAATATCATTTTGATTTTTAAATTTTATTCTAAATTTTTTATTTTTAATAACTAAACCACACCTCATGCTATTTGATATTTGAAGTTAACGACACAGACTTCATAATTCACAGTACACATATTTTACCAGCACTAAATTCATACCTTTTTTTTTTTTTGGAAAGCTAGCTAGGTACCCAAAGCCCACGGAAGATAAATTTATATATATATAAACTTTATTATGTAAAATAAATTAAATATGGTCTAACGTATAACCGTAACCAAAATTTAATAGAATATGTATATCTTATTATTATTGATTGAATTTTCAAATAATTGTTCACGAAAAGCTGTTGCAATATTTATATGGTAACACTAAAGTTTTTTTTTTTACCAGACTTCATAATTCACAGTACACATATTTTACCAGCATTATATATATATATATATTGGAAAGCTAGCTAGGTACCCAAAACCCACAAAACATAAATTTTCATTATATATATAAAAACTTTATTATGTAAAATAAATTAAATATGGTCTAACTTATAACCGTAACAAAAATTAATAGAATATGTATATCTTATTATTGTTGATTGAATATTCAAATAATTGCTTACGAAAAGCTGTTACAATATTTATATGGTAACGCTAAAGTTTTTTTTTTTCCTAACTTAATTTTTACGCTTTCATCCACCCTGAATATACTTAGTTTCTTATGGAATTCAATAAACTCTAAACCTTAAATTATCATAGATTTTATTTAAAATAAATATAAAATAATATTAATTTAAAATAACATAATATATATATATATATATATATTATGTTATTTATATATATATATATATATATATATATATATATATATATATATATATGCGCTAGAAATTATAGAAAGTGGAATAATTTTCGTATAAAACTTATTTCGTATGTGACATACTTCAATTAATTTCTTTATTTATGCTTTCTCTAAAATTTGGAAAGTCCTCTCGAGATAATGTTAGGTTACTAGAAATAAAATGATGAAAATAAAAATAAAAATTTTATTATTATTTCATAGCTATTTGGTTGAAAGAAATGAAAGAAAAATAAGATTAGAAATTAAACATAGTTTTATTTTTATTGAAAAAAGTGAGAATAAAAACAATAAAATGAATTTTTTTTCAAAATAATAACATATCTTTTTATCTATTATATATCAACTACTTCGTCACTTCCATTACCATAACTACTACCATTAGCATAACTACTACCATTAGCGGTGGTGATAATTTTTTTTAAACTAATTATTATTATACTGCGACTATTATCATTTTTATTGTATCACTAACACCTTCACCATTGATGACGGTGAAAAAAAATATTATTATTATTATTATTTTGTTATCATTTCTCTTTTACCACCACTATTATTTTACTTCTACTACAATCTTCTATGATATTGATATCAAGTTTTTTAAAATATATTATTTTTATCAGTATCACCTCTTCATACTCCACCAACACCACCATTACCATTATCACAATCGTATTTATCATTTTTATTATTGTTATGGTTGATAAAATTATTTTTTTAATTGTTATTCTTATTTATATTAAAATTTTTAAATTTTATTTTAATTTTTATTATTATTCTAAACGCAATACGAGAATAAAAATTTTATTTTGATTTCTATATTTTTATTTCGGATTTTTAATTTCGATCACCAAACGATACTTGAGATTTTTTTTTTTTTTTGGTAACGTGGGTTGTACTTTTTCCTTATTTCTTTAGTATTTTTCTTTAGTAATCTTGAACGGAGACTTCATATTTTTAGATGTGTGTTTTTTGTTTTGTAATATCTGATTTATATGATTTTCTTGCTTTTTTGGGTTTTTTCTTTAGAGTTTATTGTATTTTTGTTTTTTCTTACTTTTATGGAGTAGCTTCATTCTATAGATATAGATAGATTAATAAAAAGAAAAAAAATATAAATTTATGATACTTTTCTCTTTTAATATGTAATTTTTTTAATATTTTTTCTTTTTCATCGGCTGTAATCTTTTTTTTCCCCTATTTGATGCTAGTTAGTTTATCAAGGAAATTTTTTATCTTCAGCAAAAAAACAAGGAAATATTATTAATTATTTATTGCAACCTAACAAGATATATATATACTTATTCAATATATAATTTATATTTGTAATTTTGGTCAATGCTCGTCATTATCGATTTGAGTTGTTGTCATTTTGTTGAGCCTAAAGTAATCTCCTTCTTTCTCTCCCTTGTTCTATCTGACGCAAAAGTTTACCCCTTTCATGTTTTAATTTGTCCGTTGTAGGTAAATGGCCTCCACTTCGTGGCCACTTTTTGCCTTCAATGACATAGGATTCTTCTAATCATACTTTTTTCTTTATCATGTTATTTTATTATTTTTTCGAGCTAATGATATTGTGACACGTATCAATTTAATTTTTTCCATTATAATCTCGTCTCACTACTTTTATTATTATTATCAAATTTAAGTAAATAAATTTTAAAAGATAAAAAAAAGGTAAAAAAATATAAGATATAACCTATCATTCGCTCTAAAAGGTGAAAAAAATTAATCGAAGGTAAAATATTTTCTATCCATTTTTTATATTTTATTACAAAAGTTTGTTAAATTGACTCAAAAGCAGAATAGTTTTGACTCGAGCTCTTTGTTGAGATGAAAAAAATACCCAAAAATTACAACAAAATTTATATTCTCAAAAAAAAAATCTTTAAAAAATTTATATTCTTACTTTTAAGTTAAATTAAGAAATTTATAAAATCAAAATAAGTAAATTATAATAGATTTTTTTGAGATATTATAAAATTATAAATATCTTTTAAAAATTTAAAATTTCAATTAAAATTCTATTCACATTTAAAAAATAGTATAAATATTTTGTTTTATACTCAAAATTTGCTTATCATCATAAAGATAAATTTAAATCCATAAAGGATATATATATATCTTCTTCTCTTTTCTTCAAAATTAATTTAATTTAAAACTGATAAAAAAAGAGTAAATGGATGAAATTAAGACAAAAAAATTAACACGTGTAGCAATCCTGTGAGACTAACAATGCAATTTAATACCATTAGCTCAAAAAATTTATGGAATGATAAGATTGAGGTATTAACCAAACCTGTATAGACAAACTTAAAACAAAAAAGAGTAGAAAAATATGATAAAGATAAAGATAAAAAAGAAAAAGAAAAAAAGAAGAACTTTGGTAACCATTAACCCAATGCCACAGTGGTCCATCATAAGTTATGCTTGTATTTAGAGAAGTGGAAAATAGTACTCCTCCGCAGCTCTATCCATTTATTAGGCAAAATTTAGAAGTAACTTGTCTGGATACTACTTCATGCTTGGAAGTGCTACGGTGATAATGGGCAGTAGAGGTAAGCATTCGGTTTTTTTTTTTAAAAAATTTTTTTTTTTTTTAGTTTTTAGTTAATCAAGCTCACAAAAAAAAAAAATACGAACAGAATTTCTATTCGGCCTTTTGATTTATAAAACGAAAAATTTGGTTTTTGGTATTGGATTTTCGATTAAAAAAAAAAAACCATTTTTTTTATTTTTTAATTTTTTATAAATAATTTAAATAGGCCAATTTTTTTTTTTTACGAACTATAAAGTCCTTGCTCTATCTCAAATGGTCTAAAATAGTCTATAGAAAAAATAATAAATATTTATTTAAATCAGACTTAAGTTCAAAACCATATCACATAATAAAACATCAAAATTTAAATATAAGTTCATTAATTCACATCTAAAATATATAATGATAAAAAAATCATTAATTGTTCAAACACATTGTAGAAAAAGTAAAAAATTATATAATTCAGTTTTTAGTGAAAAATAAATTAAATTTTTTAAAAACCAAATCGAAACTGAATAATAAAAATTAATTTGGTTTAAAATTTTTTCAATTGAATTTAATAAAAAACCGAATTGAATTGGTATTTTGATTCGGTTCCGTTGTGTTAATCGGTTTCAAATGGCTTATATACTTTTGTCTTTTAATCAAACAATTAGATTGTTGGTTTCGGTACATTATACATCCTTCCAATTAGTTATTGGCTTTGTTTGTCCTACTATGTTAAAATATATATACAGTGTTTGGTAAAGAATTTGGTTTTTTTAAGAGACAAACTAGTTTAAAAAACAAGAGAAAGCCTTTTTTTTTTTTTTTGCCCAATCTTTGATTTTTTATTTTGGTGACCAACAATTGATTTCTCATGATTTGCTATCAAAGTTTTGATTTTTTGTTTGTTTTGATACTCGAGTTTACTCGTTGTCCAATTTTATTGATGTATCTAGTAAGATCTCGTCACGTGATGACCAAAAAATGCGATGTGGTAGTCAACTATGTCGCATCGGCATCTCATACTCTCGAGTAGCTATGGATACTCAAATAAAAATAAATAAATAAATCAAAGGTTGAGCATTGAAACATAAAAAATAAATAAATAAATAAATAAAGATTGGGTACCAAAAATCTAATTTTTAAGAAATTTATTATCTCGAGATTGCAAAATTAGTTCGATGATTTTTAATAAATATTTTTCTTATCATGCTTGTGGTATTTTATTTTATTTATTTATTTACTTATCAATGGTAATTTTTAATACTTTGTATTAGGTAAAAATTATTTTAAAAAAATTCTAAACCCTTTTACGTACATATCTAGACAAATTTTAAATTATGTCATTTAATCCAAATATATAAATAAGGTCCAATTAAGATTAAATTTAGAAAAATAAAAGACATATAAGATCCAATTATGATTGCCATTTGCGGAACAAATGGTTGATCAATGGAGAAAGTTACAAAAAATAAAAATTATTTTTTTCTTTTTTGGTCCACGATGGAGAAAGTTGACCAACATATCATGAGAAACATAAGCTTGCTGTAGCCAATAACTTGCTGAACTTCTTATAGTAAGTCGAAATAATATAAAATTGACATGAATAAGTTTAGTAATCAAACTTTTGATTTGAGCATTTTAAGTGTAATATTTTTTGCAGCGATGACGATAATAATAGAGGTAATAAGTAAGCTATGAATTAAGCTAAAAAGTAAATGTATTGTTAAAAATGCTTGTACAATTAGCATAATAACAAGAAAATATGCATGTATGTAATTGCTGATGTTTTTAGAATTTAAAATTATATGATTTTCAATATAAAAAAAAGTATTGAGATATATATATATATATATATATATTATGAAAATACAAGAAATGTATAAAATCTATTTATAATAAAGAAAATCAGCACCTCATACTCTCGGGTAGCTATGAATACTCAAATAGAAAATAAATAAATAAATAAATAAATCAAAGGTTAAGCATTGAAACATAAAAAAAATTAAAGATTGGGTACCAAAAATACAGTTTTTAAGAAATTTATTAACTCGAGATTGCAATGATTTTTAATAAATATTTTTCTTATCATGCTTGTGGTATTTTTTTTTTTTTTTACTTATCAATGGTAATTTTTAATACTTTGTATTAGGTAAAATTTACTTTTAAAAAATTCTAAACCTTTTTACGTACATATCTAGACAAATTTTAAATTATGTCATTTAATCCAAATATATAAATAAGGTCCAATTATGATTAAATTTAGAAAAATAAAAGACACATAAAATCCAATTATGATTGCCATTTGCGGAACAAATGGTTGATCAATGGAGAAAGTTACAAAAAATAAAAATTGTTTTTTTTCTTTTATGGTCTATGGAGAAAGTTGACCAACATATAATGGGAGACATAAGCTTGTTGTAGCCAATAACTTGCTGAACTTCTTATAGTAAGTCGAGATGATATAAAATTGACATAAATAAGTTTAGTAATCAAACTTTTAATTTGAGCATTTAAAGTGTAATATTTTTTGTAGTGGTGACAATAATAATAGAGGTAATAAATAAGCTATGAATTAAGCTAAAAAGTAAATGCATTGTTAAAAATGCTTGTGTAATTAGCATAATAACAAGAAAATTTGCATGTATGTAATTACCGATATTTTTAGAATTTAAAATTATATGATTTTCAATACAAAAAAAAAGTTTTGAGATATATATATATATATTATGAAAATATAAGAAATGTATAAAATCTATTTATAATAAAGAAAATATATATCACGAGTATAAGAAGGGATTAGACATTTGGTGCGAGAAAATTGAAATAAATTTCTTAAGAAAACTATATTTTTGGTGTTCAGCAATTGATATATATTTTTTTTCAATTTAGGTGTCTAATCTTTAATTTTTTTTTCTATTTCAATGCATAACTTTTGATTTTTTTTCTATTCAAATGCCCATAGCTACTTGAAATTATGAGGTGTTGACGTGACGAATTAACCGTCACGTGGTATTTTTTAATTGCCATGTGGCAAATTTTGCTAGACACGTCAACAAAATTGGATCTTGTATGAACTTGGGCTCCAAGAAAAAAAAAAAATTAAAGCTTGGGTAATAAATCATGAGAAATCAACTATTAGGTATCAAAATAGAAAAAAAAAAAACACAAAAAAAACCTCTCTCTGTCTCTTTGAGGGAAAAAAAAAAAAAACATATAAAAATAATTAGAAAGCTAAGGGCAAACATAACCCTTAACAAGTACGCTTTGCAATGGATAAGCTCTTACATGGCTGATTTTTAATTTACTGAGCTATTTCATCATCGAAATTGTTGCAGGTGCCTTAGTTGGTGGTCGGTAACACAGGTCCACAGCTTGCAGAATATATGAAAAAAAAAAAAAAAGCCTGTTAAAGTCGATTGTTTACATGTCAAGTTTTGTTTTTCACTTGAAAAAACATTTATCCACATTGCTACAGATCATTGTAAATAATCCCGCTGTACAAAAAATAAAATATGTCTTGGAACAGCCATATAAAAGTAAAGCATAGGAGAGAAACTAGAGGACCGTTAAAAAAAAAAAAATGCAAGCAAGAACAGTGACAAGATCCCTGGGACAACAACACGGTGGGTCAATCAATCAATGTGAACGCCCGCCTTTATTGTTAAAATGGCACCATCACCCCTCTGCTACTTCCATCCTTCTTCCCTGATTCAAAGACCCAAAAAAAGAAAAGAACACCATCTCAGCTCACCGGCCTCTTCTTCCATGCAATTCTTACCTTCTCTGTTTCTTCTCTGTTTTCTCCTCCTCTTCTTCAGAGCCAAATCCGATGAACTTCAAATACTGCTAAACCTTAAAACTTCACTTCAAAAATCAAACAGCAATGTGTTTGATTCTTGGGATTCAAACAAACCCTTTTGTGAATTCTTAGGAATCACCTGTAATTCAGATAAATCAGTAAAAGAAATCGAGCTTTCGAAACAGAACTTAGCTGGGGTCCTTCCTCTTGAGTCAATATGCCAGCTCCAATCTTTGGATAAGCTTTCTTTTGGCTACAATTTCTTGCATGGTACCATCACAAATGACTTGAACAACTGCTCAAAGTTATTATATCTCGATCTTGGCAACAATTTTTTCACCGGGCCATTCCCTGATATATCATCTCTCAGTCAATTACAGCACCTGTATTTGAACCAGAGCGGGTTTCGTGGTGGTTTCCCATGGAAATCACTGCAAAACATGACGGGTCTCGTCACTCTAAGTGTAGGGGACAATCCATTTGATCGAGCTACGTTTCCAAATGAAGTTGTCAAGCTATCAAAACTGAATTGGCTTTACTTGACGAGCTGCAGCATCGAAGGCACAATTCCTGAAGAAATTGGAAACCTTACTGAGCTCATAAACTTGGAACTTTCTAACAATTATCTATCCGGTGAGATTCCTTCACAGATAGTTAAGCTACGAAATCTCTGGCAGCTAGAGATCTTCAACAACAGCTTGACCGGAAAGTTGCCGGTATGGTTCAGAAACTTGACGAAGCTGGAAAATTTCGATGCGTCTGCGAACCATTTAGAAGGTGATTTGTCTGAATTGAGATTTTTGACCAATCTGGTCTCTCTGCAGCTATTTGAGAACGAGCTTTCTGGTGAAATTCCAGCCGAGTTTGGTGAATTCAAGAAACTTGTGAATGTTTCGTTGTACCAGAACCAGTTAACAGGTTCTCTTCCTCCAAAGATTGGTTCTTGGACTAATTTCGGTTTTATTGATGTGTCCGAGAATCATTTGACCGGGCCAATTCCGCCGGATATGTGCAAGAAGGGGACTATGACTAGGCTACTCATGCTTCAAAACAACTTGACTGGCGAAATTCCTTCTAGCTATGCAAACTGTACTACGTTAGTGAGGTTTAGAGTCAACAAAAACCAGCTTTCTGGCAAGGTTCCTGCTGGAATTTGGGGATTGCCCATAGCGAATATAATTGATATCGAGATGAATCAATTTGAAGGTCCAGTGACGTCTGATATTGGAAACGCTAAAGCTCTCAGTCAGTTATTGCTTGGAAACAATCGCTTATCTGGTGAATTACCAGAGGAGATTTCCAAAGCTACATCATTGGTTACAATCAAGTTAAATGACAATCTGTTTTCGGGCAAAATTCCGGAGAAAATTGGTGAATTGAAGCACCTGGGCAGTCTTCATTTGGAAAACAATATGTTATCTGGTACAATACCGGATTCATTAGGCTCTTGTTATTCTCTCACTGACATGAACATGGCTCATAATTCGCTTTCTGGTGGAGTTCCATCCACTTTGGGGCATCTACCAACTTTGAATTCTCTGAATTTGTCGCAGAATGAGATTTCGGGTCATATTCCTGGAAGCTTGTCATCTTTAAGACTAAGTCTTCTTGATCTATCCCACAATAGATTATCAGGTCCCATACCTCAATCTTTATCAATTGAAGCTTACAATGGTAGCTTCACCGGAAATACTGGTCTCTGTAGCCAGACAATCAGCTACTTTCAAAGATGCTCCCCTAAATCCGGTGTCTCCAAGGATGTCCGCACACTCATCCTTTGCTTTGCTGTGGGTTCAATGATTTTGCTTGCTTCACTTGCGTGGTTCTTCCACTTAAAGAGGAGAGAAAAGTATCATGGCCGCTCGTTGAGGGAAGAGTCTTGGGACTTAAAGTCCTTCCATGTTTTAACATTCACCGAGGATGAGATTCTTGATTCTATTAAACAAGAGAATCTGATAGGAAAAGGAGGGTCTGGCCACGTGTACAAAGTAGCCCTCGCCAACGGCAAAGAACTAGCAGTGAAGCATATTTGGACTACAAACTCTACTAGCCTTAAAAAGAGCAGGAGCACTACACCAATTTTAGGCAAAGACACAGGAAAATCTAAAGAATTTGATGCAGAGGTGGAGACCTTGAGTTCAATTAGGCATGTCAATGTGGTGAAGTTATATTGCAGTATTACCAGTGAGGACTCAAGCCTGTTGGTGTACGAGTATATGCCTAATGGGAGCTTATGGGACCGGCTGCATACATCAGGGAAAATGGAGCTTGATTGGCAGATCAGATACGAGATTGCTGTGGGGGCAGCTAAGGGTTTGGAGTATCTGCATCATGGGTGTGATAGACCGGTGATTCACCGGGATGTGAAATCTAGTAACATTTTATTGGATGAGTTCTGCAAGCCTAGAATTGCTGATTTTGGACTTGCTAAGATGGTTCAAGCCAATGGTGGCAAGGACTCCACCCAAGTCATAGCTGGAACCCATGGTTATATAGCTCCTGGTAAGTCAATTAGGCTCTTTACTTTTATTTCTTTCGTATTTTGTTCATGAGAAGATACGATAATTGCTATGATGTAGGTATTATCTCGTTGAAGTTCCCATGTCAAGTAGCTAATTAAAGCATATCATGGAATTGTGGCTTGTTTGGCATTTCATTTTAGCTTCAAGTTTAGTTAAATTAATGTGGACGTTTGATTTTGCAGAATATGGGTACACACACAAAGTGAATGAGAAGAGTGATGTGTATAGCTATGGGGTGGTGTTATTGGAGTTGGTGAGTGGAAAGAGGCCAATAGAGCCAGAGTTTGGAGATAACAAAGACATAGTAGATTGGGTCAGCAGCAAATTGAAGACTAAAGAGAGTGTGTTAAGTATAGTGGACTCAAGAGTTCCAGAAGCTTTGAAGGAAGATGCTGTCAAAGTACTAAGAATTGCAGTTCTCTGCACTGCAAGGCTTCCAACAAAGAGACCTACCATGAGAAGTGTAGTCCAAATGCTAGAAGAAGCCGAACCGTGCAAGCTGGTGAGCCTTGTCGTTAGTAAAGATGGTGCCATCAACAAGAGAAAGGAAGTGATAGAAACAGAGAAGTTCAACCCGGATCAATAATTGAGTTCTCTTCCCAAATCCCAATTGGTCACTCCAGTTTGGAGATCTTATGTGACGTTTCTTGGAAAGAATTTCCAAATGTTCGTTTATAAAATGTATCATAATGTAACATAATTGCTTGTATAATATTAGCCAGAGTCTGTAGTACTTTTTGTGTGTAATCTGCCAAATTAGCTTCGAGCCGATCGAGGCTCTCCTTTTGTACTAGTACAACTGAAGGGTAAAGAAGATGCTAAAATCAATTAAATTGATTTGCATTTTTTTGTTGTCAAATACAGCTTGGACAGAATACACCTTGAGATTCTATGATGGTCCTTCACTAAATCACCTCAAAACTTCCATGGCCACACTGCATGTCTTGAACTTCCATGCCAAGAGAAAAAAATAAAATAAAAACGGTTTCAGAGTAGGATTAGAGAGGAAAGTAATATAAAAAGGCACCCATAGTTGTCAGGTCAACAGATATCAAGGGGGTATTGACCACGAAGCTGCTGCTACCTTATCAATCAAGAAAAAAATCGAACAAAATATATTTCTTCAAACCCAATCCCAAATTGATCCGATTTTTTCACTTTAATTTGTGGACAGAAGTTCAGTGGTTTCTGACTTTCTGTAGCAAGTCCACATACAGGTGCCCCGCACACAGCAACGGAGCCCCATCCAGTTAACGCCATGTGCCAATCTGTACGTTAGACATTCCAAGCATGAAGCACGAACGAGGGGTTTCGTTTCTTTAATACATCTATATTTCATATGATTAGCACTGTCTGTTTCAAAGAAATTGTTTCTGGCACTACGTTGGACATTCCAAGCATGAAGCACGAACGAGGGCTTTTGTTTCTTTAATACATCTTTATTTTCATATTATTAGCGTTGTCTGTTTCAAAGAAATGGTTACATATATTAAAAATTCTATTATTTGTTATGTTGCATGAGACTTTTTTTTATAAGAACTGTATTTGACTAATTTTTTACAAAATAAAATTTAGTTAAAATTATTTTAGATAAATATTTTTTTTATATAGTTTTGACTAGATGAATATTTTAAGATAAATATAAATAAAAAATAATAATTTTTTATAAACAGAAAGAATAATTTTTTTGTAAGTGTTTTTGGTAAGACACATGAAATAAAAAAGTTGCATGACGGTGATGATGGGAGCCGCCAGCTTTGACTCCAACGTCTATTGTGTCCACATACATTGGGGGCACATGTACCCTAATAGCCTTGTGGCAATGGCCCAGGCTAGCAGGATCGAAGTTAAACGGTTGTTAAATTAGTGTTTCTTTTGTTTTAGGTATGCCATGAGTTCGATAAGGTATATAAAATTATTTTAAAAAATATATAAAATTAAAAATAAAAATATTATTTTTTAATAAAAAATTTTATATTTAATTATTTTATATTTTATATTATTTTTAATTTTTTTAAAAAAGAATTTATCCTTATTAATTAATGAATTATTAACTAAAAAAAATTAAATAAATTTTTTAAAAAAACTTTAGTATTTCATAAAATTATTTCAAAAACATAAATAACTACTATTAAAAGCTTACATATAATTGAACAAATATTTTTTTTAGTATCTAATGTTGATGAGAATATTGATTTTTGAAAAAAATATGAATTTAATTTTTAGATATTTATTTACAAAAGAATGAATAGTATTAAAATAAAAAACTATACTAATTTGAATCATTGAGTGGGTAAGCCAAAACATTATTTTAATTATTTAATTTAAAAATAAATAAATAAATAGTAAATGCTTAGTGTAAAAAAATAATATTATTATAATATGATCATAATATTAATAACATATGACTATATTAAAAAAAAATGACAAATTAAAGTAGTAAATTTTAAATGCTAAAAATAATTAAAAGAAAACATTAAATCAAAATGAGACCAAATCATAATACAATTAAATTTTGAAATTGAAAAAAATAAGTATAGAAAAATTAAGGACAAAAATGCTAAAAAAATGACATGAATAGTGAAAGAAATAGTGGTATGTGAGTGTGTAAATAGTGATTTGTGAGTGTATAAATAGTGTTTCAAATATGAAAAATGAATAGAAAAACCATGTTTTACTTTAGTTTTTTTTAGTAATTTTTCATTTCTTTTTTTTTTTAAAAAAATAAAACTAGTTGAGAATAGATTTTTTAGCTTTCAATTTCAAATTAAATTATCTTTCAATTATATTTTATTTAAAATTGCATTTTCTACTAGATTGTCTTCAATTCTAAAAATAAATACAACTTTAATTGTTAGAAATATACCAAAACTTAAAGAAGAATTTGCCTTTTCTTTCAAAAGTTGTTTCTTTTCCTCTAAAATGTTTTTTATTTGCTTATTTTTTTTAGCATTTGGGAGGAAAAAATAAAATTTGGAAAAAAATTAAAATATTCAAAAAATTTGACATGTTTTTAACAAAATGATTGAATTTTAAATGAATAAAATAGTTAGAAAGGATCCAACTCGAAATTAAAAGGTAAGAAACTAATTTTCCATTGACTTAAAACTCAGAAAATATTTGTACCATTTAGCCTTAAATAGTTCTTCCTTATAAAATTTAGCCTAACCATAATTAATATGATGAAGCTAGGAATAAGGAATAACATATTCTCATTTTAATTTTTGTAACTTATTTTCAACAGTTTTCTTTATTTACTTACTTTCTATAGTCATCACACCTTGTATTTATTATTTTATAATGTAGTGTATCATTATATTACATTAAATTATCATTTCTAATTTGAATTTCTTAACTCTATCAAAACATTTTAGTTTTAGTTTCTCCAAAAAAGAAAAAGAAAAATCTGCTAATTTATGTTATATGCTATATTTCTACATGATTTATTATTTAATTCATAGGAGAACTATATAAATATGTGTAGACACAGTTATACGTGGACTCAGAATTTTAGAAAAAAATTAGGTTTGCCCTTTGAAAAAAACGCTCCAGCTTCGCCTGAAATATTTATCTCTAGTCCTGTTAATTTTTTGCACGTGGAGACTATAGTGTACACTATAACATTGCTTAACTCTCTAATGATACTTGGCACGAGATTAAACATGTGGATGAATTATTATAAGAATAATTTCTAAGAATACAAAATTTAGTTTTTAAGGATCTTTGGTGTGCTAATAAATCGATTGGTGAGTGGTTAGTAGAAAGAGATAAAGTATTTAGATTATTAATACTAATTAGTGATAAAAAAATAAAAAATTATCTGGTAAGTCTTTTAAAATCAAAGGAGAAAGAGATAGTGAATAAATAATATTCAGATTATGTTCAGAGGGTTCGAAACAATAATAGCTTAAAATGCTCTATTTAGTTTTGGCTAAAAACTAACACAAGGACGATGAGAAAATTAAAAGTTAAAGGTAGCGAGTAATTGAATCAATTTGTTGGTAGACTCTTTTGGCGTTGACCAGTGATTTTAGGGGAAAATTGTGTTATAAATGTACTAACTTTTACTATTTTTTCAATCAATCATATGAAATTAAATTTTTTAATTTGAATACATTAATTTTTTTTAAAAAAATTATCAATCAAGTATTTTCATCATTTTTTTGTCACTTATTTTGTTCTTTGATAATGTATTATTTGTCTTAAATTATTAAATTAAGATTTTGTTGTTTTATTGTTGGAGGAAACTTTTTCTTCAAAATTATTTTGTCATTTTATAGCTTTTTAATATTTAGATAATTTGAGTTTACTACATAAAAAATAAAAAATAGTAAAATAATTTTTGAGGGAAAAATTCTTTCAAGAAAGAAAGTACAAAAAAGAAAAAAAAGAAAAGTTGATTGGTTGTTTAAAAAAAATAGTGTACTTAAATAAAAAAAATAAAATTTATATATTTGATTTAGAAAATATTAAAAGTTCGATCATTTACAGATTATCCAATGGTTTTAGAGCGTGTGCGCTTTTGAGCCTTTCTTAATTTTTTTTCCTTTTCTTTTTTATTCTAACCTGGGCTAAAAGCCCAAAGCAACAAGAAACTAGAGAGCCCAAAGTGTCTCTGTACCCACTCCAACATGGTCAGCCCACAGGAGATTCTCTGGCCGATAGCCATGGTGGAACCTTATTATACTGTACCATTTCCACAGATAGATAATCATTATCCATCTCAGCTAGTGTCAGCACAAGAGTTGCCTTCTCTGAGAACAAGTTGAACTGAACTTTTCACTGTCTACCCCTTGATTCTCTGATTCCATCCCCATCAATTAATGGAGCATAAAGATTGTCTCTACCTCCATTACCCTCGATCAGAGAAATTTTTTTTTTTTTTTTTTTTTGCCTTTTGCGTTTGTTCTCTTTTTTGAAGTTCAGGCTATGTGGGATTGTATGAGTTGGGCTCATAGCAAAACAGCATTTAAAAGCCACGAACACACACAGATGGGTTTCAGCTAGTTGGCCCTACACCAATCCATTTGTGCTTTATGTATGGGGCCGTGTTGGATCGAACTCTCGACTGAAACATCCTAAGCCGTAACAATCATACATCAATTTTCTTCACCTACTTGGACAAGGTCTTCAAGTGTGCAGCATTGGAGAGCTGAGAAAAATCTCAAAACCCCATTTCGCAGGCATAGCTATGACCAGCGGAAGTGGGTAAATATAAGGAAGAATTAATTATATGAACGGATTAATGAGAGATTAAATTTAAAAAATAAAAAATAAAGGACTTTTTAAAACAAAATCGATAGTATAAAAATTTCGGAGTTCGTTAACCATGAACCTTTTTCTTTTCTTTCGGCCACAAGACCACCTCAATTATGCTCTTTCAGTTCCACGAGACCTGAACATATGGAGTAAAGCCAATCCAACCCTAACTCATAGCCCACCTCTACATGTCCACAGAGCACGAGGTTGGAGACTGATGTCGATGATAAATCTTTTTTAATAAATAAGGAATTTGATAATAAATCTATTTATACGTGTTCTTACCCGATGTTTAAGAGATTTTCAAAAAAAATTATTAACAATTATTGTTTGTTTATTTTGCTTTTGATTATTTACTTGAGATGTGAATTAAACCACTTTTTCAAGTCGTCATTTATTATTAAACGAATTAAAAAACCTAAAAAAGATATTAATTCAAAGATTCTATAATAAAGAATCAGCTTATAATTTTGAAAAGATATCAATAATTTAAAAACATATTTTTTCAAGAAAAAATATCAAATCTGGTTTAATCCTAAAAGTTTATCTCCTAAAAAATTCAATTTTTGCCAAATTATTTTTAACTCAATTTCCAAATTTATTTCCTAAGTCAAATTATTATTATTATTATTTTTGTGGCATTATATTGAATTAATCATCGGACACTCGACATCAAAAATCTCATCAATTCAATACCGGATCCGGTTTAATTCTCTACATAACCGATATATTTGAGAACGACCTAATTACTAAAGGTGATTAGTTTGTCCATTTCTTCTTCTTCTTTTTTTTTTAATTTTCTTTTTCTATGTATTCTTTTACTTTTTATTTTTATTTTTGATGATGAACTTGAGGAGAAACCATCATCGACCCCTATAATATAGGAGACTTGACGATATCTCATCACATTCAAAAAAAATCACAAATAAGTAGCAAATACACTTAAAAAAATTATGAAAATTAATATACGGACCAAGTACCAACACGTGAGTAAATCCTAAAAATTCAAGTTTAGATAACCAAAGGATATTGAGCATAAAAATTAAATTTGAAACCGATCATATTAATAATTAAAATTATAGTATAATGATAGAAAAATTCAAAATAAATGTTCAATGAGATTATTAAATTATGAAAATTAAAACTAGACAAACATATATACAAACCCTAGGATTATAATGACAAATGGTACTAGAATTAAAAATAAATTACCGAAGTAAAGTGCATTAATAATTAGGGTAAATAATATAATAATAATAAAAATGCTAAATAAATATAAAATAATCTCAAAAAATGATGAAACTTGACAAACATGTTGTGTATAGGCATATAAACATACCTAAAAAAATTAAATTAATTAGAGACTAAATGCTAGGGAAAGTAATTAAATTCCACATGTGATCTACTACTGGTTATTAAAACAAGGGCAAAATAATGATTAAATAGCAAATAAATGTTAAATTCACCTTTAAAATTATGAAAATTTAAATACATGCCAAAAACTAACACGTGAACAAACCCCGAAAATCTTAGATTAAAATAAAATCAAACAGTAAGCTAAATAGTTAAAGCTGCATAAACAAATTGAGTATCGCTAAATTCACCGTGTTAATTGTTATTCCCACCATTTGTTTTTAGACATTTACTCGATATACCCTCCTTTAATGTTTCTTGGGTAATAGTTCTATCTATTTTACATTAAATGCCCAAAATATCCGTCAACATTATTTTCTCATGTTCTTTCACACTTAACACACAAACATAATAGAAAGTTTTTGCAATCCACACCATTCAAAATAACAAAGGGAATTATGAAACAATTCGGAGACAAAGAAGACAGTGATCGATAAAATTCATGCGAGTGTCTTCGCCCTCGTTACTCAAGAGCACTTGATATTTACAAGTTGAAAACGGTGAAGGAATAATGCTCTTCAAATTTGTAGACACTGTAAGGAAAAGAATTTTTAAATCGATATCTTATTAAATTTGTTTACATGTCCCAAGGTGGATCAACCAAATTTGAGTATTTATTTTATCTTATCATTTTCTTTTAGGCATTTTTCAAGTTGTTCCCTACCAATCAACTCTAACTCTTTCGAGAGGAATATTTGTGTTTTCAACATTCACATGTAGTCAAAACTTGCCGCAAACATTTAGAAGCACAAAAGGAGCGAGAAATGAAAGTCAACGAAGATGCTCGTTTGGCTAATACAATCTTAAAATTTAGAAAAAAAACACACAAGTTCAATTTCGTTGCGGAACTAACAACATCGGTTATTGGGTTCATCACCTCTTTTTCACTAGCTTGACGAGATCCGATCGGATCAATAAGTTGTAGTAAGAAATTTTGGTATAATAATTATTTCGATCAATCTTCTAAGCGGAACTAACAAGATTATATGATTCTCAACAAAGAACCAAAAACTAAAGTAGACAATAATTACATTAGTTTCCAAAAGAATTACATCGAAAGAGAGATTGAGTACCTTCGGGTTTCTCTTCACTTTTCCTTAAGCTCGTGGTTGATGCTCCGTGTTAGTTAAGCTTTAAGTTAGTCGCTTCTAATCTTATTATCCGAAGCTAGATTTTATTATTTGAAAATCCTTATCAAACGAGCCTAACTATCTTCCTAGTATTTTTTTCTTCAATAGCAAGCGAAGGCAAGGGATTTTATTCAATATTTTTATGTTGGAAAGACTTTTGGTATTTTGATGGAAAAACGTCAAAAACAATATGGGCCTAACTATATTTGTTTATTTTGTCATGTGTTAATTTTAATGGATATTTAATGTAAAATATATAAAACTATTATCTAAGAAACATTGAAGGAAAGTATATCGGTAAATGTCTAGAAAACAAATGGTGAGAATAATAATTAATGTGGTGAATTTAGCAATACCCAAACAAATTATACTAAAAAAAATAAAATGGGGCAGAATATTAAATAAATCTAAAATAAATAATTAAAATTATGAAAATTAACCTACATATTGAGTAATAATATATAAAAAATATATAAAAATTTTGGATTAAAATAAAATAAAATTGATGAATAAGCTATAATAACAATTAAAAATATGATAGAATATGAAATAAATTTCAATAAATAGTAAATGGATCTAAAAAATTTTTAAACTTTAAATACAAGTCAAAGACAATTATATGAACAAACCCTAAACAAATCGGACCAAAATACTCTAATAAGGACTATGAAGCCGAGAGAAAACTGAAACTAGCCCTAAGATTAAAAGTTTGTATATAAGACCGGATCATACGATTGTTACAAGTTTAAGGACCAAATAATAAAATAGAAAATTAGTCCTTTTCTTCCTTAAAACTAGATATGATGTTTTGGTTGGTTTTGACCTTTAAAATTTCACCCCTCGTCAAATAGATATGATGTTTATCCTAAGAATTTTTTTTCATTCAATGTTTTCAACCTAGAGAGAGTTTTTTTTTTTTTTTTTTAATTACCTTTTGAAGCTTTCCTAGGCTAAAAATGAATGAAAAACTCTATAAGAATGACTTGAGGACCAATTTCTTCTTTTTCCTTGCTTTCTTTTTCAAAGAGACGGTGTTTTATTTTCAAAACTTTTCTTTTTCAACAATGTTTTTTTTTTTTTCCATTTTTTCCTTCTTTTCAAGTCCTCCTCTTTTGCCAGCCTCTATTGCTTCTTTTTATTTCATCCTCACCCTCTATTTGAAATTATCTTGGCCTTTCATTTTTCTTGCTCACCAAGCCCTCCCTCCCTCCCTCTCGTTTTCTTGTCAACATCTTTTTGTTTTTTTGTTTTAGTGAAGGTATGGCAGCGAGCAAGATTGAAGGAGAAGGAAATTGGGTAGCTTAGGATTTCATCCTCACCCTCTCTTTGTTTTTTTTGTTTTAGTGAAGGTATGACAGCGGCAAGATTGAAGGAGAAGGAAATTGGGTAGCTTAGGATTTTTTCTTGGGTTTTAAGGAGGTGGAAGGTACAAGGATAGTTATGAAGGGAGTGAGTGTGTGCGAAAAAAATGAGAGAAAAACTAGTTGGCTTCTTTGTCTTTTGCTTTGGTGAAAAAATATGTCGGAGAAAGAAGAAAATGAATAGTGCTTGGTACTTAAAATAGGTGTAAACAATCAAGTCGCTTATAGCCACAACTCAAGGCATTAAGATAGTTTGTAGGGATTTTGTTTAGGGTAGCTCGAATAAGCACCAAAAAGTCCACCTAGTCTCATGGGAAAAAGTCCATAAACCAAGAAAGCTTGTGGCCTTCTTCTTAAGGTCCTATCTTAAGTAAACAAGGCCTTACTCATGAAAATAGGATGAGAGATTATCTCGAATAGCTCCTCTCTCCGGGTGAAACCGGTCCGAAGTAAGTATAAAATTGAACCATCTCCTACTCCTTCCTCCATATCTTGAGGTAATTGTTCTAACCTTTGGAGAAACATAGCTAAGGTGTGGAAGAATGTGCACAAATGCATCACCCGGTCACTTGGTGATGGCGAGCAAGGTTGGGTTTTGGATAGAGGCATGGATTCCTAATCCGAGGAGGCTTTTGGATCAAGTTGATATAAATATCCCAACCAATTTGATCAAGGACTTGATCAAGAAACATGTCACTAGTGATGGGAAATAATGGTGAAAAAAATTTGATAGTGTTATTCCATCCTTAACATGTTTAAAGATAATAGAGATTCTTCCACCGAGTTGATGGCCGGGGAGAAGACAACCCTTATTGGGCCCTAACTAGGAATGGGATGTTCTCTACGAAGTCAACTTACTAGTTTATCGGTTCAACTACAAATAGCATAGTAGAGAAACGAAATTTGATTTGGCAATGGAAGGGACCTTAAAGAATTTGTACTTTTCTATGGTTAGATCATTGGTTGCTCACTAATATGCAAAAAGTCGGGAAGTGGCCTTGTGATTGACCTATTCTGTCCATGCTGCCATGGAAGTCAAGAGACAGTGATCCATGTCCTATGTGATTGTTTAGTTGCTTTCAAGCTGTGGTAGGATGTTGGGGGCAACTAGTAGGGTGCTAGCATTTTTAATTTGGAGCTTAAAGAGTGGGTTTGGTTTAATTTAAGAATAACCAATTCTACCCATGTTAACGTAATTTTTTAAAGCATTTGGTTGGGGGTGTCTTGTTGGTTCTTATGGAATTGGAGGAATAAAAGTATTTTTTTATAAAACTTTTGTCATGCCTCACAGTCCATTGGAGGTTATTCACGGTTTTATTGAAATTATCATGTCTAGCATTAACATGGACGCCTTGTTATCTAGGCAGGCTGGTGGGCTGGTTCGGACCTCGTCAAGTTGGGTGAAGCTTAACACAATGAAGCTTTGAGGGAGTTAGTTGGTATGGCTACAACTGGGGGTATCTTTCGATATATATGAGGTATTTGGTTATATGGTTTTTCTTATCATATCAGGATTTTTTTGGTTCTATGTGCAGAACTATTAGGCATATTAGTTGATTTAGAAATGGCATTGAAGCTAGAGTATTGACATATTCTATTGGAATCGACTCGGTGGTTATAGTTCGGTTAATTCGAAATCCTAGTGGGCATCGAGGACACTACGGACAATTAGTATCTTCCATTTGCACAATCCTTGGGAGGCTTGGCAAGTTCGTATCGATCACATATACAACGAACCTAACTAGTTGATGGATTGGTTGACCTCGCAAGCTTACTCTTTACCGAGTGGAATTTCGTACTTTGAGCATGCCCTTAGAGCATGTATTAGCTCGATTGTAGAGGACATTCGTGGTGTAGCCTCGCCAAGACTTTATAGCACTCATCCTTTCGTTTTGAGCTCTTCCTCTCCCTTGTATAAAAAAAAAAAAATAAAAATAGGTGAGTTGCCAAACTCGTCAATTTGGTCTACTCGTTCTTTCAACATTTTCATAATTATACCCCTTTCTTCTTTGATTTCAATTTTTGTTCTTTTTAATTTTATTCAATTGTATCATCGGTTGTATTTTTTTTTTTGGCTATTTTTCTCTTCGTTTTTTTGGGTCTTTTGTGCAAAAATAAAGGATAAATTAAACTAAAAATATAAAAATTAAATTATGCAAAAAAAATAACCATAATAATGAAATAATAAATAAACAACATAAAAATAATGTTCATAAAAAATAAAATTATGAAATAATAAAGGTGGGGCAAATTTGTGATTATGACAATACAAAAAACACAATATAAGATTATTTTTTTTTTTTAGAGTTTTTTTGAATCAATTTTTGTGTCAATTAAAATTTAAACCCAAAAAGTCAAAAAAAGAGGAAACATTTTTAACCACTGTACCAATCCTTTGAATTTAATTATATTGAAGATGAATGTAATAAAAGGTTTAGTTGCAGTGAAGAGTAATATAATAGAAATAGGTTGCAGGCGGTGTGAGTCCGCTAGATTAGCATTATATATTTTGATATCTTTTTATGTAGTCTGTTTTTTTTTTTTTTTAAAGAACGTATTTCAAATGTTATTGATTGTACAATAGATGCTAAAAATTTCGTCCGGATTCTATGATGCATTAATTTTTTATTGTTATATATTTATAAATAATAAGGTATTTTCGAGTCATTTTTTGAATAAATTAAAATTAAATTCATAATTTTTCAAACCAAACTAATTCTAGAATTTGCCTAGCCTATTTTTACTAGGGATTATATGATGCATTAGTTATTATTATATATATACACGAGCAGTAAGGTATTTTTAAATCATTTTTTGCATCAATGATGAGCCAACATGAGAACATATTTAGTTTATTTTTATAAAAGATTCTATGATGCATTAATTATTATTATTTATAAGTAGCGAGGTATCATCCGATTACATTTTGCATCAATGCTAAACTAATCTTAGAAAACGTTTAGTTTTTAGTCAATTATCAGATTGTTTTTTAAGTTAAATCAGCCAAAATCTAGTATTAGTGCTAAAAAAAATTATTTCTACTTATTCATGAACAATGAGAATTGAATTTTGGTGTGGACCAAATCAAAATCAAAGATGATAACATCATCTCGTGATGAATGATGCGTTAATTATTTAATTTCAAATATTGTGAATGTACACTAAAACATTTAGTAAAAAAAAACTTAACAAACTTATAAATATTCATAGTACCTTGTCAATAATATTGCACTCTCAAATCAAAATCTACCAAGAGAGCTTCGGATTTTTTAGCATCAACAACAATTCATTTAAGATAATTTGTTGTTCCTCGTTCAAAAAAGAACTAATAGTTGTTGTCTACGGTATTCCAGTTACTTGTGTTGTGCTCCAAGTTGGGTTACAATTAGAATTAATGGAAGTATATGCTAGAACTAGAATCGGAAGTTATATATGACTCCCAGCAGTATTATTTACCATGTGGTGAGGAACTACCGATGCATAGAAAGTTTAAAATAGCAGCAATATAATGGAAAGATGCATGTAAGAAAACTACACAATAATACTGTCACTGTAAATCAATTCCTGTAATATTATATATTTTCACTTGGAATATGCTCCTTTGGAATTGGATTAATCTTTTGATTAAATGGAAAACGTAGCATTTATGAGGTCCTCGAATAACCCTACTATATTTTTTGCAAGTGTGTGCAAATGGCAGCTTAATTACTTGAACAATATTTTTTATGCAGAACTGTGATTGCGAATATTGACTCTGCAAAGAAAACCCCTTAACATTCTATCATGTGGAAAGACAGTGAATGGAAAGAAAGGGATAGAAGAACCGATATGGTGCCCAAGTGAACAGAATAAACAAACTATGCTGTGCTGGGACGCGGCTTGCCGTAGCATGAAATCAGCTGATTAGATATGTGTGGCCAATTTTATGCCCTTGATCAACTTTAATTTGTTTAGTGCAGCATAACTAGTACGCTCAACGAAGAAATGGTTGTCAATTTATCAGAAAAGCAACGCCATTGGCTATTTGCCAATTTTTTTAGCTTTCCACTTGCTATGGTGCGCCCAATGATTCAGGCGCTTGCTAGCCCCCTCGAATTCCAGAAAGGTGTCGGCAAAGCAAGCAAAAGCAACTTATAAAGATTTGCCAAGTCAGATTGGACTTTAGAGCAATTCCCCTTCCCATAGCCAAATCAAACGCCGAGTGCTTTGGGGAAGTGGGCATCTTTAGCTACGCACTTCATCATTTCAGCACTTTCTATCCGATTATGTTCTATCTTAAAAAAGATTCTCATTAACAACACATATGGGCTTACTGGGCACTTTGGGCTTTCATACTTACGGCCCATTACCCCCTACTCAGCATCTCTTCTTAACTTGTAAATGACACTTGGCACGATGTTTGGGCCGGAAATTAAGAGAAGATACCCGACTATTAGGACGGGCAAGTCTGACGAGCATATTCTCGTTCAACACAAGACCAATCCCTGTAAGAAAAGGTCGAACCGGAAATCTAAGATGAGACATAAAATATTTTCTTTTTCAATATTTCAAGTGTCGCTAAATAATAATTATTAACCTTGTCTGAATTATAGGAGACTTGTTTTTTCCTTTGCACAATTTAGTTTCATTATTCTAAACAATAATAAAAATTAAATGAATTTGATGTGGTATAAAAATGTGAGAGCTTAACGAGGTAGGTGGGTATAACGGTATAACTAATTATAGCATAGCCGAATATCAGAAAATTAAAATACAAGCGTATGTCTCTCTAACACAATATATGGGCAAGGATGGATAATTGATGGCATGTAATACTACCAACAAATAAGATATTTATATTTTCTTATGAAGTTTTCAATTACGGTAATATAATCAAGGTAAATAAGGATCGAATCCACAGGTAAAGGAGATCAATTGATTGTTTTGGTTATTTGAGTGTTCTCGTAGTGCAAAAGAGGTTTTGTGTGTTTGGACTACTTGAAAACAATACAAAATAATAAAGAATAACAATATTAAGAAAACCTTGGTTGAAATTCGGTAATCATTTTTAGATTGGTCGTCGATCGCCGATTAAATAATTAACTTATTCTAAACATGAATATTCACCGTAAGACAACAATATGTATGTCGACCTCAATCTTTCCTTAATTAGTCGTTAATTAAATATATAATACCTAATTAATTTTCTAGCTATTAAACAACCTACTAAGCGCTAGATAGATTTAATCTAATAACGAGCATTAGACAAAGAAATACAATTGAAGCTAAGCCACCTTCTTAAATGCTATAGGAGATGTAACTTCGTTTTATGTTTTTTAAGGAATTGAACGAAAATGTGAAAATAAATCATCAATCCCTAGTTACTACCACAAGCAATTATACGAATTTGAATACTTAGCTAGCAATAAGTTAATATGACTAAACAACTAGCATGTACTCTAATCAATTTAATCATATAACTATGAACCAATCATGTAGTAAATTAAAATACAAGTGTATGTCTCTCTAACACCATATATGGGTAAGGACGGATAATTGATGTCATGTCGTATCGCCAGCAAATTAGATATTTATATTTTCTTATGGAGTTTTCAATCACGGTAATGTAA